TCAGTAGCCTCATTCATAGTCAAGAAACTTAGTGTTCTCCCTCCCCTCGCCTCCCCCTCCCTCCCCTCTTTCTTTCTTTCTTTCTTTCTTTCTCTTTTCTTTCTTTCTTTCTTTCTTTCTTTCTTTCTTTCTTCCTCTCTTTTTTTCTTTCTTTCTTTCTTTCTTTCTTTCTTTCTCCATGTTCAGTTTCTTCTTGGGTATCTACTTTCTAGTGAAATAAGCGGTTTCAGAATATCCTACCAAAAGAAGTCTAAGTAGGGAAAACTAAATCACATCAATAGTAGAGAGCAGGAAAGCAAGGGGTTGTATGAAAGAGGAGGGTCCAAGATCCAGGCCTCTGTCGGTTTACTGCATGTGGGGACGTGTTTGAACCCACCTTCGTGGGTTGGTTCTAATTATTTTAAACAGTTTTGATTATTCCTTTTATTTTGTTTCCTATTATAACTTGTTACCTAATATGGTTTGATTAGGACTTCTATTCTTATTCGAATTAGAGGTTTCCTATTCTATTTAGTTTTCTATAATGGAATAATTAGGACTTCTTTTCTTATTAGAATTAGAGATTTCCCATTCTATTTAGTTTCCTAGTATGATGCAATTAGGATTCATATTCCTATTAGAATTAGAAGGTTATTTAAAGCCCTAATGATGGTTGTTGGATTCATCAATTAATAATATTGAAGCTTTAAGCTTTGGCAACTTTAGCTAACCGTCGATTATTTTATTTCTGCTCTCATCAATTGGTTTGACCTGTCGGATCCCGTCCCGCCGGAACGACGAGATCTCACAGCGATCGTTTGAAAGAGATGGAGGCCTAGCAAACCCCAATGAATGAGAAACTTGATGCCCAAGGGCAGAAATTGGGGGAACATGGCATCCAACTGGTCGAGATTGCCGCATCCCTGGTGGCGCTCACCAAAGCGCTCACATCATTGGCGACGATCAAACTCTCGTTGACCACAGTCTCCAGTGTCACAGCTTCTGCACGCACTTGCGAAGGTGGATCCCGCAGCACCGCACTCACCTTGCTGCCCTCGTTCGGTGGCGAAGACCCGATCGGTTGGTTCGCTAGGGTTGAACACCAGTTTGAACTAAACGGGACCCCACCGGAAAGAAAAGTGAGAACGGTTGTGATTGCCATGTAAGGGGCTGCCCTATATTGGGTGAGCTGGTTGAAAGCGCGGAAACCAGGCATGGCCTGGGAAGAATTCACTGGTGGCTCGGTTCAAGTGCAGCTGACCAGCCGAGTTTTTGGGCTATCCGATGATCATTACTTATGGTATTTCATGAACGTGGCGAATGGAACGATTCGTGGATCCTCACCGTTGTTGTGGCCAAGCAGCCTGCAGATAGCAATGGAATTGGCCAGAGATAATGAGTACAATTTGTCCTTTCAAGATGAATGCCGAAAAGCCAACCCTACAACCCCATATAAGGTTCGAGCATTTTTTCGCAACCAAGTGGGGGTAACGGCACGACCATGAATGGTTGCAACATAAAGGGATCACGTGGCAGCTTTCCTAAAGATATTGCACAGTCCCTGAGGACAAATTCGGGGCTGTCTGAGTAGTCTACTGCATGCTCCAAGTTCACTCAACTTCCGCCGAAGGTGTTAGAAGAATTGCAGGCAAAAGGGTTCTGCTTTAGGTGTAAGAAATCATTTATATCGGGACATGACTGCCCATTTAAGCAGTTACGAATAATGATAACTGAGATGGATGAGAGGTTGGACCTTTAACAGCATGATTATTGTGATATAACCTGCCAAGAAAAGGTTCAAGAAGGCCAGTGGGTTCGAAAGGAGATGAGAGATATTTTTCAATCTATTATATGACTGAAATTTTCAGCCCTCGAACTATGAGACTCTGAGGGGTGGTAGCGGGATGCATGATGACCACTCTCATAGACAGTGGCGCAAGCCACAACTTTATCTCCTCGCCCTTAGTCCCCCTATTACGATTTCATCCGGACAAGACTGGCAGATTTGGGGTGCAACCGGGAGATGGGCATAGACTGATAGACAAGAGTCGAAGGGTGTGTGCAGACAACTTCCTATCGCATTGCCATAGTGTGTTGTTAGAGCAGATTGCTATGTATTTGCCTTGGACATGGCTGATCAATGGCATCATTTTGGGAGTAGCCTTGTTGCCCATGTTGGGAGAAGTATGGACAAATTGGGAAACATTGACTATGAATTTCGAGTTAGGTAGTAGCCGAGTCGAGTTATGGGGGGATCCGACGATTAATAACGAGAGGTGTGCCTTTGGTGTCTCAAGGGTGATGCTACTTGGATGAGTAAAGAAAGTTATGTGAGCCAGTTTTCATATTCCCCCAATGTTATTTTGAAGAAGGGTGGATTGATAGAGAACAGGGGAGCAGGGGGTTGTACGGAAAAGGAGGGTCCAAGACCCAGGCCTCTGTCGGTTTACTGCAGGCGGGGACAGGCTTGAGCCCACCTCCGTGGGCTAGTTCTAGTTATTTTAAATAGTTTTAATTCTTCCTTTTATTTTGTTTCCCGTTTTATTTTGTTACCTAGTATGGTTTAATTAGGACTTCTTTTTTATTAGAATTAGACGTTTCCAATTCTATTCAGTTTTCTATAATGGTTTAATTAGAACTCCATTCTTATTAGAATTAGAGGTTTCTTATTCTATTTATTTCCCAGCATGATTTATTTAGGATTCCTATTCTTGTTATATTTAGAAGGTTATTTAAAACCTTAATGAGAGTTGTTAGGTTCATCAATTAATAATATTGGAGTTGTAGCTTTAAGCTTGGGCAGCAGTTGCTAACTGTTGATTACTTTATTTATGTTCTCATCAAAATCTTGAGGATAGACAACGATTGCATAAGATAACTTGTATAGCAATAATCGACATGAATAGAATAATACATTAAGCAAAAAATAGCACAATGTTGAATATGCAATGTTCATGTTAAGCACACAATTGCACAAAAAAAGAGAGAAAAAGAGTACCCTCTAATTGGGATCTTGGATGACAATGATCACATAATCTCCGTGAAGAAACATCATGTTGATGAACCTATCCTTATTAACAAGTTGAGTTTTATGTTTTCCTTTGACAGTCTTGGGAACCTGCACATAAGATGAAGACGTAAATAAAAGCAAGACAACTCAAAGGAAAAACATTTAAAATCAGTATAGCTAGAATAAGATTCATATAATATATGTACGTAAATAAAAGCAAGACAGCCCAAAGGAAAAACGTTAAAAATCATTATAGAATAAGATACATACTTCCTCCGTTCTTTTTTAGTTACAACATTCATTTTCTCACGCTTGTCAATGCACAACTTTGATCGTCATTATATTTAATTCTCTAGTAGTAATTTTTTTTTTTAAATCAGATTATGAAACTTCGCAATGAGATGAATTCAACAATATTTTTCAAAAAAAAATTATTCACATACATTAATAAATAATTCACATACATTAAAAAATAATTCACATACATTAATATTTCCCATTGAATTTCCATTTTTTTTGCAACTTTCATAGTAAAACAACCCACAGGTAAATTAATAACTTCAATCCAAAAAATAGCCTTATTAAGACAAATTGTCAAGGGCAATTCACTTGCCTGTAAAGCATGCAAGACTAACAAATTTTGCTCAAACAACCACGGGCCATTCTCAAGAACATGGTTCATATCAACTACGTGGAAGAAGGTAAATATATACCTTATTAAATCGATTTCTTTTTTATTGAAACCTTTCTCGCCAGATTGATGCCATTTGATCTCTAAAATAAGGGAACTTCACTGATTTGTCAGTAATCAACCCTCCAACAACCGCAAACCCTGTCCCGTTATTGCCTCCTCCCGATTCCTCGTCAAGATCAATCATAGTACATTCATTCTCCTCCTCAAGGATGAGTCCTGATAAGTGTGCACCAAAGCCTCCATTAAACTCGGTCGCTACCTCTGTCTCGGCTGCTTACCGCTTCTTCTTCTCCCGTCTGAGAAAGCCACGCCCAAACCGCCGTGCACCACCCTAAATGTAACCTCCAAAGCCAAGAAACCACGCTGGCCAAATAACAAAGAAAACGATCAAACTGAATATGTGAAGAAAACCACACGATTAGAACAACGGACTATCTAACCCTACATACCTTAGGAGCTCTTGATGATTACTAAGCAAAGTTTCAGAAACGTTCTCAAAGATAAGTGAAAGAAAAAAGAAAATTAAAAACAAGTAAGAAGTACTATCTTCCGTATCGTATTAGTTACAACATTGAAATTTATACACTATTCATGTACTCTACTTTGACTACACTTTATTTATTAACGTATGTGAATTTTTTTTTTAAAAAATTGTTGAATTCTTCTCATTACAAAGTTACATAATCTGATTTTAGGGAAAAATTACTAATAGAGAATTAAATATAATGACAGTCAAAGTTGTGCGTTGACAAACGTGAAAAAGGGAATGTTCCAACTAAAAAAAAACGGAGGGAGTATAAATTAGGGAGTTTTAAAACTACTTTTACAAATTGATTTTGCTTTATCAAGAAACACTTTGAACTCTAATCACTTTATTCATTTTATCTAATGGGGATTGGATCGAATAACTTTTAAAAAACTAAAAAGCCCGTTTGGTAATACATAAATCAGCTGGTCATGCTGAAATTTATGAAATTCTGGCTGAAGTGACTGAATTGGTTGATTCTGATAATTTATGAAATAATTACATTTGAAATATATTTTGTTAATAAAATAAAGAAAAAATTATATGTGAAGAATGAAGATAGCTAAAACGATCCCCTACATTAATTTCAGCCAAATCACCCTGAAAAGTAACTCCAATCATATTTTTTGTTATCGTTACAATTCAACGACCGAAATAAAAAATTACTTATTTGATGAAAAAGTCGACTGATAAGCCTAATAAGTTGAAAATTAAGATTACCAAATGAGCTCTTAATTCTACTTCTATTAATTTTATTCCTAAAATACCCTCACTCATCAGATACCCACGCTACACATTCCACAGCCTAGGGTAATATCACTTCTTCACGTCTTCAGACCAGAAAAGCTCATCTTTTCCGACCTACGCAAACCACCGTTTCCAGCCGACGCTTTTCTTCTCCAGCACAGGCAAACCATTTTAATCCAGGTAAGTTTCAATAGTTCATTATCTATGCCCTGCCGTTATTCTTTGCTGCACTACGTCCAACCTAATAAAGTCTTGAGAAAAAATCAAGTCTGGTTTCATATACCTGGATATTGATTAGGGCTTGGGGACCCTTTTTATGGTAACTGGACCTCACACTTACTTGAGTTCGTTAAAACTATAGTCAGGAGCTCAGGCCTATTATTTGTGAACTCTAACGGGTGATCTCTCAATACTGTTGTGTTTAACTTGTATTCGTCGCATCAGTGTTTGGAAAAAGTTTACGTTCTGTAATTTGTATGTTTTGCTGACTTGTTTTGAAAAACAAAACAAGCTTGCGTTGTTATTTATTCGTTTTTGTCTCGATGTGCTGCTAGGGTTTGGATTAGTTTTGCCAATTGGGGAAGAGATGGCTCCATTTCAAAATGTAAGTTGTTGAAGTTGTTTTCATTCAGCTTCATTTTGTACTTGTTGGTAAACCTAGATTAAGAAAGGGTTTATTCTGTAATAACATATTTGAGTAATTGAAATCTCAGAGAAAAAGGAAGTTGTCTGTAAAGCCGACCATTCAGAAGAAGCAACATAGTGTTGATCATATAACAGGAGAAAAAATTCCCAAGAGCTTTGTTTTTTCGAGGGGAAAGTTACCGGCTTCTCTTAGACAGCTGCAAATGGACTTGAGAAAATTGATGCTTCCCTATACAGCTCTCAAGCTTAGGGTAAGACTTTCATTCTAGACTTTCATTTGCAATTTACGTTGAATGTTAATGTGCAAAAGGTGTCAGAAAAGATTACAAGATTAGGGGTTTAGGGTAAACATTTCCTTTTAGCCTTTCATTCATAATTTATGCAAAATGCATGGAATAGATTACAAAGTGGAGAAGACTTAAAAGGTAGAGATGTCGTTAAAAGACAAGAGTCAATTGATTTGGTGCGAACCAGTAAGTGTAGATTTTCTGACAACTGTCACAAATTGTCAACTGTTTAGCATACTCATATTATTTATTAGGTCATAAAAGTAACACTAGGCCCCGTTTATAGATTTAATGGGCTGATTTTGCTTATCAGTAGAATAAGCTGAATAATCACATTAAGTAGTCTTTGTTGGGAGGGAGTCATATTTATATTTGTAAATCTTACTGTATTGAGTTGCTAAATAACTGCTTATTATTGAGAAAAATGTATTATCATTAATGGAAACTCATCTAAGAATTGATTATGGGTTTTACATGTATTATTTTCTGACAAGTTTGCACTTCTATGCTTTTGTGTTGCAGGAAAAGAAGCGTAATAATCTCAAAGATTTCTTAAATGTTGCAGGACCTATGGGCGTTACACATTTCCTCATGCTGTCAAAAACCAAAACTTCTCCTTACTTACGTGTTGCTAGGTCTCCACAGGGACCAACTCTTACATTTAAAATACTTGAGTATTCATTGGCTGCTGATGTTGCCAAATCTCAATTGCGCCCAAGATGTCCTCCGGATCTCTTCAAAAACCCTCCCTTGGTAATCTCTTCCAACTCCACGTACTGTCCCAAAGCATACTATAACTATTTATGTTGCTGATGGACAATTTGCTCCAATGGTTTTACAATACTTCCTTAGACAAACAAAAAGTTACTCACGCCTTCCCAAAATGTAAGATACAATTGGGTGCCATACGGGTTTTTAGAAAATAAAGGAGACAGTTGCTATTTTACAATTCTAATCTTTGAAATGAGAGAAAAAATAGTACCGGTCCAAAGTAAAATGTGAAACGATTGATAGGAATATAAATTGGGAAACTTAAAAGTAAGTGGATATCAAGTTAGGAAGTTTTCATACGAGTATTTTTTTGACAGATGAAAAGGAAAGCATATCTTACAAAAGGGACAAAGCAAATAGTGTTTTTTATGAGATTGATGGTTTACAGGGGTTTTAAAAGTTAATCAGTGCGTAAAGGAAGTTTAAAAATAAACAAATTTCAAACTATAAATGAGTTTGATGATTTACAAGAGTTCACCTCAACAAAATTTAAAAAGTTGTATCTTGATGAAACATCATCACTTTTTGGGACATGAGGAATATTATACTACATATTAAATTAGAAACCCTGATGCTCTAGATACATTTATGATTTATCATTATTATTCAAGTAATTCTAGAGAGACATGAACAAGAGACATAATTAAGAGACACTCTTATTCCGCGTTGCGGTATAAATACTCCCTCCGTCCCACAAAATTCTTCCCACTTACCATTTTGGGATGTCCCAAAAAATTCTCCCCATTTCCTTTTTGGAAAGTTTTGTGTGGCTAATATTCATTTACCTTTTTCTTAATCAACCACAACCATACATTTCCACTTTATTCCCACTTTCTTAATAAGCGTGCCAAGTCAATCTGGGATGTATTTTCTGGGATGGAGGTAGTATATTGGTTGTGATCATATGGCTAACCTCCCATCATATAATGTATGTGCAACACATTAGAATGTCACTTAAGAATGTCTCTGTAGACTTTATGTTGTCATTGTTATTTTTGTTGTTTTGTTAGCATATCTGCTCTCAGTGCTATGCTCTTTGGATTAAATGTTGCAGATTGTGCTCTCTGGTTTTGGGACTGGAGAACAACATCTGAAGCTCACAACTATTATGTTTCAAAATATCTTTCCAGCCATTGATATTAACACTGTGGGTGAAACTCTTCATACACACATCTGAGATTTCATTTCTCCAGAATTATAGTTAATCATGTAATGCACAATCTTTATTTCCTCCTAAGTAATCATTAACGATGTTGCAGGTCAAGCTTTCTTCTTGCCAAAGGATTGTGCTTCTTAACTATGACAAGGAGAAGAAACTTATTGACTTTAGACATTACTCAATCCGACTGCAGCCGGTTGGTGTTTCACGTAGGATAAGAAAATTTGTGCAAAGCCATCAAGTACCTAATCTAAGCAATCTTCAAGATATGAGCGACTTCGTTACCAAGTATGCTTGTTCAGTTTTTTTGAACTTTTTTCAACCCATTTCCTATAAAAAACCTTCAGGCACCTCAAATTGAGGGGTGACAAGGATGTTCCCTTTCTTTAAAGTGATCAAGTCTAATATATACTCTATATGATTCTTTTGTTTTGAATCTTTGCTGAGTTCAAGCAGTTCTCTCATTATTTTGGGAGTTGATATCAATTTTTCCTTTGACTATAGTTGCTTTACCATGTATGGTCTTTCTCTTAAAAATTGACATGATCTGATGAATGTTAGTGGCTTTTTCCAGTCTAGTCATCCAGTTCTCTAAATTTCCTCTAATTTTAAGGTGTACATGTAATCACTCATGTTACATTAACCCGAGATTCATAATGTTCGCTGCCTAATGGCTGAAAACTAATCATCCTTTGTAGGAACCAATCTCCACCATAAGGTTAAAATAAAAGGTGGAACTTCAAAAGACATACTACGTATATAGCTTTTTTCCTTCTTCCCATGGCATGAACAATGGGGTTTTTCATTAATTTGGTTGCCAAAACCTAAACCATTTCAGTTCAATCAGTCACACATTGTTAACGGGTAATGAGGCCGTTTCTATTCAATTAAATATTAATTGGTTGACTCTTTTTCTGGCATTGTGCTTTTGTATATAAGGGCTGGTTATGGATCAGAAAGTGAAGCAGATGATGAGGCAGCAATGGTAAATTTACCAACTGATCTTGGTAGATTAAACAGAGCCTCAACAAAAAGTGCTGTCAAGCTTCAAGAAATTGGACCCAGGATGACTCTCCAATTAATGAAGATCGAGGAAGGATTATGTTCTGGTGGAGTCATATTTAATGAATTTGGTAATGCTTCTCCCCTCCAAAAAAAAGTATTCTCTTGGCAGAAGATATTACAGAGTTCTTTCTACTTGTAAATTGCCAACAATTGGAAAAAGGAGTCAAGTTACAACAAATAAATTTTTAGAAGTATTAACTATTAAGTATTCATGATTTATAAAAATGAATACCTTACTTAAATTTAAAGTTGTACGTTGGTCAAAGAAGACTTAATATGGACATAAGTGAAATCTAAATCTTAAGAACCTACAGTTGTTGGAATATACATGCAAATGCGGGTTGGGCTTATAAACAATTTTCCATTCTTTGAGAAAGCAAATGCAGCCCTGTATATTCATTAGTATCGTATTTTCAAACGTTCAGGAAATAGTGCTGCTGAGAAGCAGGATGGAAGCAAAAGTGAACCCAAACAAGAAAGTGCAGATGAGGATGAGGAAGAGGAAGAGGAAGAAGTAGATGAAGAGGAGGACGAACAAGAAATCGAGGAAGATTGAGAATAGCTTGTTTGTAAATTCAGCATCAATGCCTTCAAATGTTTTGATTAGTTTCTGTAGCTCAACTATGTTCTTAGTTCAAATTATGTCAATTTCTGTGTACTAAATTTGTTGAACCACAAGAATGAAAATTTACATGACTTTCCTTGGAACACATGGTTGACCCTAACCTGAATTGGGTGAAAAATGTAGGACAGAAACAGGCATGCTTTCAGATCTGAAGTGCAACGGATACCCAAGAAACTGGTCCAAAACGGTTCTGGTTCTTCTAAAACAGGATTGGAACTACACAGTTGCGGTTTCTTTTCTATTTCTTTATCAGAACGGTCCCTAGGAAACAATGGGGTCTGGATCTGGTCAGCGCTTGCTCCTAATACAGTAATTGGTAGTACTCTGTAATATTCAACGCCAATGTGGAATGTTGACCCTTTATTTTAATCTTGGTTATAAATATTCAAATTTCACTAATTTTAACTCTAATAATGTTAATTCAAATACCTCTGAAGTCTGAATCTCTGATGTTTCAAAATAGTGTAAGGTTAATCTTTCATTGAGAACAGTATCGGGGAACTGGAGAAGTATCACGCTGATAATGTTTCAAATGATAAAGCTTCGTAACTAATAGTTACAATGTTATAAAAAAACAATGTTAGAGAAAATACTCGATCTTCCTAAGGATAATGTTCCATTTTACTGTGTTGTTTCATAAAACATTACAAACGAGAGGAACAGTATACATGGATTTTTTACGGGAGAATGTCCAAAAATGACATTAAAGTTTTTAATTAATGAATCTCATATTGAACATTCAAGTTTTTAATGAACCAAATTAACCCAAATTCAAACTTATTCATTGCTTTAAGCCACCAACTAACATTTCCTTTAAACGGCGTTTCACTTGAAGAAACTTGACAACCACAAAGGTAACAACGGACGTTAAATGTGTGATGTCTTTTTTTTTGAGGGAAAATGTGTGATGTCTACTCAAGTTCTTTTTCAAAGAAACGGCAATGTCTTCCTAGTCCGTCGTCATCCCCACCATGCTTAGAGCTCTGAAATAGAAGATATTAACCACCTGATGTGTTTCAAAAACCTAGCAGACCCACCAACGAAGGATGGTGTTCAAAGGTCAAATTTTCTCTTCTAGGAAACATGATGCTTGCAGCACAGATGGATCCACCAGTAACCCACGCTTCATTGAGTCGAATTCTTCGATCCAAACCGCTAAAATAATGCGAAGTCTGGTTCTGCATCCAAGAATAACGACTCTCCTTGTAATTCGTCTAGGACGTCCAATCTAGCTACTAAGATTGGGAGAAGCTCGTTAACGGCAAGGATTTCACACTCGGAATTCCTAATCCAAGTTCAGGAGGAAGGGATGGCTTAGGTTCTTCAAAGCTTAAGAAATCAGGGCTTAGGTTATTTGTAGAGACGGAGGAAGAGACCTTAAAACATGCCCATCCATAAATCTAAGTGAAAATTCCCCGGAATGTTTGGAGTATTTTGTATTAGCTTTGGATTTTCTAACGGCTTGACCCATTACATTATCTTGAATTGAGAGTTTCAAGGGGGATTCTATAGAAAAACTCTTGAAATTGTTGTAGACAGAACTTGGTGCTAGGCTTTCGCAATCCACTGTGATAAGCTGAACATACTTTGGTTAGTCAGTAATGAACCTTATATACAGTCTGAGTCCCCTGACTCCCCTCCTACCAAGAACTATTAGAGCTCTCTATGTGAGGAAAAGAATAGGCAGGAGAACTCAAAGTCTAGTTTCACTAAGCCATGTTGGACATGAGGAGCAAAGAAGAGTACAAGTGATGAGCAATCTACCTTGTTGAACGGAAAGAAGAAGGGCGGTGTGAAGGAGGAAAGAAAAACAAATGAAAATTCTGGATGGGTGGATCACGAAAGTAATCCGAACAGTATGTAAAAAAGAATCCAGACTTTTCCTTTTCCTTTAATATTAACTTGTAGAATTAGTAACCTACTAACCTTAGTAATGCTTATTTAACGGAAATGTTAGTAGGTGACTGAAAAGCAATGAATAAGGTTGAATATGTGTTAATTTGGCCTACTAAAAAGTTTAATATCCGATTCGAGATTCATTAAAAACTTTAGTGTCATTTTTGGCTCTCCTCCCTATTTTTACGGACTCATATTTTAAGGAAATAATCTCCATCCCATTAAGTAAGGGCCAACCGAGTTCCTTGGGCTTCAGGAGATTCTAAAAGCTCGGCCCATTAAGTTTCATTAGGACCATCATCAGTTCATCACGGTCTCTCTACTAGGACGCCATCACTGCTGGGATCAAATTACTTCCGCTGAAGACGAGAATGGCGTCTGGTTGGGGAATCTCGGGGAACAAAGGCCGCTGCTATGATTTCTGGATGGACTTCAGTGAATGTATGTCCACTTGCCGGGAGCCCAAGGACTGCACTCTTCTCCGAGAAGACTATCTCGAGTGTCTCCATCACTCCAAAGAGGTCTCCTTGAATTCAATTTATTCCTGCTCTTAAATTTACACTCCATTTCGTTCCTATCGTATCCTGATTCAACATTCGATTTTTTATCCTTTACACTGTAATTGTGTTTGTTAATAAGGTTAGCTACTTAGCTACCAGCACACCGGATCTGAAAAGGGGCCTTGGGTCATGACCCTTCACCGCTGAATTGATTTTCATATTTTTTGAATTTCTTTCTTAAATATGGACATGTAATAACTTCAGAATGTAATTAGTATGTAATAATTGCTAATTTAATATTTATACCTCACTCAAACTTCTGGAGACTCTCCATCTTCTACCTGCTAGACGAATTTTGTCCTGAGATGTAGGGTTTCCTCATAAGATTTAGGGAAGATTCCATAAATAGGAGGACTATACATACACATTTCTTCAAACAAGACCATATGTTTTTCAATATTTCCTGAATAGGACTAATTTATTGTTTTTTCTAAATAAGACTAATTCACCCATAAAAGAAGAATGAAAGATAGCAAATCTATTTTAGTGATATGCAACCTGTTTTGTTCTTTTATTTTTAGGGCAGTGATATTCTTAGCTGAGAAGTCAATGGCTAGACCATTTTTCTCGTAGATTATGCCATTCTCCAGTGTTTCTATGCTAGGGAAAAATGGTAATTTGTTACTCTATGATGTTTCAAATATGAAGTCCATATCAGTTCTGCTTTCTGTGGTTAATATGAGTATTAACATAAACCCGCAGTATATCTTTTGTAAGATTACTAAGATGAATTTTTTGGGTGCTACTGCTACCAAGAAGTTGGGCACATGGTTTTGCCAATAGTAATCTTGTTCTTATTGCCAGAGAGAGCTCTAGGGTGCCTCCAAGAAGTTGGGAATCTGTTTGTGCCACAGTAATCTTGTTTTGCCAATATTTAGTCATACACACGAATACATGATAACCACAAAACCAGCATTATCCGATTTTAAGCAGGTGTATGAATTATGGATATTTTTGGAAATGAGATTGTTTGACATAATATTTGGATATTCCTATTCAACTATTTAAACCTTTTTCAAATATCATTAAGGTTGTAGAATGCACATGTATACTACTATGCTCAGGTTCCTAGGTATTTCTGTATTTTGTCTCTGTTCAGTTGGCATATATGCTCTGTTTATCATTGTAAGGAAGATATATTATATATAAAGCTTTATGTGGTTGATATAGATCACACATGGTATGGCAACTTTTAATAGTGAAACATGGTTTTTTATGATATTAGCTTTATTATTGTTGTTTTTGTAGTACAATTTGAGAAGTTTTTTTTGTTAGAAAACCTGAATCTCTTTTTTGTATAACTGGAGAAGAATCACAGCGCCCAGAGTACTACTCCAGCGAAGGCCCAACAGGCCCAAATCACAGCGCCCAGAGTACCAAGCAGCCCGCACTACGCGCCAGGGGTGCCTTCGGCTCCCTGGCCGAAGGGTCTAAACTCTCACAGAACGGGTTTCTCAAGCAAACTAAGAAACTGGGAGAAAACGGCGAAAACAGCAGCCCTCGGTACTGTGAGCCCTCGGCACCAAGGTGCCCTCGGTTGGAGGAGCCTTCGGCTACTGCTCTATGGCCGAAGGCATCTCACTCGACAAGATATCCGCCTCACATGCGTACAGATCGCCGTACTCTGCATAGACGTCCCATCCAACAGCCGCATTAAATGCCGCCACATGCGGCTGCCAGCGCCAACCAGTTGAGGTGACCCCTCGGCCAATGAGCGCTTGACACGTGTCCCTGCCCGGCATTTATTGCTACTATAAATAGCACCCCTTTTCCCCATTTGTAACCAAGTCATAAAACGCTGAAAAGTGATAACACACTGAATACACACTCTCTCTACTTTTATTTACTTGCTCTGACTTCTCTCTAAATTACTTCCCGCAATAACCCTTCGGATATATACCCCCGGGTAGACTATCCATCATTTGGTGCTCTCGTTGAGAGGTTGAACAATCGAGTAAGAAACCCTCCCCCTCGACCAAACACAAAACACTAGCCCTCTATCAAAATGGTGAGGACAACACGTGCCAACTCAAAGAACGTAGAAGACAAGAACCTGGCCCTCGGCGACGTCAACGCCCTCGAATCCTCTCACAGGGCTCACGAGGGCGGTGTCATCGCTGGGATGGAACAGGCGGCTGTCGACCTACGCCTTCAGATCCAACAAAATGCCCCCGATGCCCGCCTCGGCATCGAGGCCAAGAAGAAAAACCGGAGCGATGACCAAGTCAGCCCTCCGGTTCTCACCATCGACGTACAATCGGCGCTCTCCGCCTTCATCCAAACGCTCACTCAGAACCCGGGTGCCTTCGGCACCCTGGCTCCAGCTCACCCTCAGATCGGGGAAAATATCATACTTCCCCCTCTGCCACACCCCTTCGGAAATCCCACCCCTCGGGTGAGAAACGATGAAGGGGTGGTGGCCCAAGAAACGTCCTCCCAGGAAGTTCAGTCCCGGGACCGCCATAATGACAACAGGGAAAGGCCCCGAACTTCCGCCCTCAACCGGCTCGGAGGAGGGCCAGACCGCCGAGGGGTCCAAGACCGCCTCGGGGGAAAAGCACTCCAAAGGCCCCAGGAAAGCGGGGGATCTGTTTCGAGGGCAGATGAGGAGCGTCCCCCTCGGGACAAAGGCAAGGCACTCCTTCATGCCGATGATGCCCGACACCAAATCAACCAGGCTCACTCAGCCCGGGTTCTTTCGCAGGGGGCGGAGATCCTCCCGAGGGATCCCCGGGACGAGATTATTGCGGCCCTCCAACGCCGGCTCGACGAGATGGAGTCCAACAAAGCTCACGCCACCACCTCCACCCCTCATTCAGATCTCAAATACGAGGCCATGATGGCCAAAATGGAGGAGTTACAGAAGAGAGTGGCCGAGGGCTCCGGGGAACCCGTCATCCAGCTCCGGACTCGGACCCCATTTACCCCAAGGGTATTGGCGGCTCGGATCCCGGAGAAATACCGAGGGCAACACATACAGCCCTACAGCGAGAAAACGGACCCCCAGGAACACTACAGCAAATAC